GGTTAAAGCACAGCACTAAGAAGCTAAAGCCACTTCAGCATGATATGGCGCGGCAGACCTCTCCTGGCCGGCCCCTGCTCCCCTCAGCAGTGTACTTTCTCAATCTGCCTGTTCTGCTCCCCACTCTGTCTCTGGTGAATCCTCTCGCCGTCCCTGCACCTCTGGCCTGTACCCCTGCTCTGTATGCACAAATAAATAAATAAATCTTTAAATAAATAAAAAAAAAAGATTTGTCTTATGCATACAAGAGCTAGGGTACAGGCCAGAGGTGTGGGGGTGGAGTGGGAGTAGTGGTGAGAGGATTCACCAGACACAGAGTGGGGAGCAGAACAGGCAGATGGACTGAAATACACTGCTGAGGGGAGCAGCAGGGAGACAGGCGAGGTCTGCTGTGAGGTGTGGGTCCCCTCCCTGGCTGGAGACTGAGCTCATGGTGCAGTGGCTGCAGATAGCTTCATAGTGCTGAGACTTAATCCTTTGTGCCACCAGGTAGAGGTTCAATAAAAAATTTTAGATGAAGATTCACAGGTTCCTCCATAGCTCAAAACATACATCTGAAACAAAACCCCAAAGAGATTGTATTAGACTGATTTTGAAAACCATTGCATACATATGCTGTCAAATTGAAAACTGCAGAGAGTGAGCGCCCTCTAGTGCATACACTCACACATGTCACATTTGTTGGTGTAGGGGAACTGTTTCTGCTCCTCTGTAAGAGCCAGATTTCATGGTTTACAAACTAAAAGCTGTATTTGAATAATACTTCCGTGTCAGTGACTACACTGATAAACAGAACTCTCCCATCAGACCTCAGCAGCTCCCGGACATTCATTTTAGATGATGGAAAGCTGCATTGCAACACATCTGGTTGTCGGGAATGAGGCTCACTTCCTCCGGGTGTAAAAAGTACTTAACCAAATCCATTCCGGGAAAAAGGTATATTTACTACTATTTGTGTTGGTTTCATTATCTCATTATAATTTTCTTCATCAAACCTGCTCAAGACGGAGTTAAGACTTGGGGCCTTTGATTTTATTAAATTTTTTTTTTCTTGTCGTCTTAAAAGTTGAAAGGAAGATGAATCCATTATGGATTTAATATGATATATATAAATACCCCATATGGGTTAACAATAACCTATGTTAGGTTACTGCTTATTTCCAAACAGGAAATCATACCTGTGTTTATTAGGGTGTGGTTGAATTTCTGTAGTAAAACCCCCAAAATATAGTAACTGAATCAAAATTGAGGTTTATTCTCTCTGATACAACTGGCCAGTGATTTTAGTACAGGACATATAGAGTATCTCTGACACCCTCAACATATAGATTCCTTTTCTGGGCTCAGAGTAGCTGTTCCACTTGGACTCTCACATGTGTATCTCAATTGGTGCAGAAAAAGTTAGTGGAGAACACTTTCAGTCTTTTAAATGACAAATAAAAACGTGGCGTACAACAATATTCTTTAGCCAGAATTTGAACAAAATTTTAAAGAAGGATGGGAAGGTGGTCCTTAGTGAGTGAAAGAATTAAAGGTCCCACTAATACCTTGAGTGCCATTACTTGAAGAAGTTGAGGAAAATGGATTTTTGGTGGACAACTGTTTTTGCCACAGACCATTTCTAATATTTGCATATTTTCATATGATTCTTTAAGTAGGCAGTTATTCCCAGGCCAAAAACATAACAGATATTTCAATAATTCCAGACAATGAAATAATAGTATTTTTACAGATTCACTTCAAAACCTTTTTTCTTCAGTTCATGGTCTTCCGTTGTAGGAACTTCTTAATTTTAAACCTAGACAATCAGTTTAAAAGTAAGTACA